CCTCAAGGGGAATTCAGAGCTTGCAACTTGCTAGTGTAAGCAAATTACCAATGTGAATGCAGTTGCAAATGAGCACAAATGAGCACCTTGTCATAGCATGCGCAGTCACGAAACGACATTTAAAAAAAATTAAGTCCAAAAGTATGGATTTCAAATTTCACCACAGTAGTTGGTATTTGTCAAATGACTCAAATCCTCACCCCCACAAAATCCCAACCCCTCAAAACCCCGACTCCTCTTTTTTCCTCTCACGCTCGTGTCGAAGTCCCGACTCCTCAAAATCTCGATCTCGATCTCGATCTCTCTCCATCGCATGTAGTCTCTTCCTCCTCTCCTCTCTCCCTCTCTCTTCCTCTCTCTCTACTGTCTCCTCTTGCTTCCCCTCCATTTGAAACGCTAGATCTGAGCTAGGGTTTTGGTTGTGATCATCGTGGCTAAAACCCTAGATCAGAGCTAGTACTGTCGACGTGACCCCCATTTATGGTGGTTTGTGTCATCAGAAAATTATTTTACCAAAAAATTCTAATTTTTTGATGATTTCATTATGGATATGTATTAGGGTGTGGTGATTTTGATGTATTCTTAGCTAATTCGGTTTTGATGATAAGTGGGATAAATGGAAATCCTAGAATAGGCTAAAAATTTCCAATTCAAATAATTAGCACAGCTGGTAAGTAATCAATGTAATTGCTAATTGAAAAACAAAAAGGTTACTGTTTAGTGAATGCCTTTGATATATGAACTCCATGACTTCTATGAACACCTGAGCACTTGATACAAATGAATACTCCCAGACTCGATGACCTGATTTTAGCCATTTGGTTATTTGATGTGGAGCATAAAACACCAACTTACAAATAAATTGTGTTCTCTGACATGGTTTTGGATTTCCAAATTCTCAAGTATAATGGAAAAAAATGACATCATATCAAGAACATGAATAGTGAAATATTATCATCTTCAAAGGAGATATACTTTGCTTTTTATGTATATTTATTATCTTCTCTATACTGATACTAATGCAAAAAGTTCACTAGTAGCAATGTTTCCCTGCATGTTTACGTACATATTTGCACAGTGAAATTCTTCATCCAAGCAGAAAATATGGAACTTTGCAACATCGTAAATTGTTGCTTGTTATGGGTTTTGGTTTCCTGAACTGGTGAAATCTATATGCAAAATTCTTAGGTTAATGTTGGTTATAACATGATCGACGAAATCCATATCGAGACGTTCTCTAGATCTTTGGTTGCTGAACTGATCATATTTATATGTCTAACTCCTGGAAGAGCCTTTTCCTGTGGATATGATCATCAGCAAAGGCCAACAAGCCTCCCTTAAGACTAGTGTTCAACGTTGTAAGCTCCATGATGAAGTTTTGTGAAATACATGTTACTAAAGTGAATGCCAAGTATTTTGCACCTTGGATATGATTTGTTAGGGATTCAATATTTCAGCGTGAACTTCGACTTTTGTGCTCAGGTCCCCTTTTTGTTGATTAGATAGGTCTGAATGTTAAATTAATGAAACGAAATCAGTAAAACATCAGCTAATGCCCTTTTTTCAAATTAAGGTTTCCTTATTATTTTATACTTCTTTTTTTATTGGGTTTATTATGATCTGAAGGAAGGCTTTTACATTTTATTCGCATATGTTTTACTTTTTTGGGTGGATTACCAAAGTATCGCCCAAGAGAGCCTTCACCATTAGTGAATATATATAAAAACCTTTCTTATATTCCCCCCTCTACATTCTTTTCCTTTCCTTTTTTTTTGGTTTTGTTTTGTTTTGTTTTGGAAATGATGATGAAGTGGAGCTGTAAATATTTTACATAAATGAGGGACAAGTTTCACTGTGGTGCATTATTTTACTGCTGTTGGCTGAACATGCACATGTGCGTCCCGTTGTAGCATAATGCCCTCTGAAAAGTGTTCATTTTTCAAACTATGTTTGATTTAGATAGCTCATCATCCTGAAGTTCAGTGATAGTGAGTATACATTTGGTAGCAGCTTGGTTTATCTTGTTTTGGGAAAGAGGTAATTGTTCATGTGCTAGCTCCTGTGATTGCTCCTAGCATGGTTGCACATATTCTTGGTTTTTTATCAAGTTGACATGTATGTAAATTTTATTATGCAGATTTTGCTACTGCAGTTGCAGTGAAACTTTTTTGATGGGAAACTCATTTTTATTGTTGGTTTATGCAATGTATATATTGCACATGCTAATATGCCACTTTTTTATGACTGGACTGAGTATTCAACTGGAACAACCTGTTACCAATTGCTCTTGTGTGGCATTATAATGTAAGTAGAGGAAGGTCACTCATAGCACCACTCTTTTGTGTCGTCGAGTCTTTTTATCATGACTAGTTATTGGAGTAGTATTTTTGTTCTTTGGAGATCGAAGGTCGATCTAGTATTGGATGAAACCATGAAAAGAATGTCATAATAATGAATATTCCATCATTATTATTTTTGTATTCTCTCATTTTGGTTTATGAAGGATAAGATGTTTGCTTGTGTATTTATAATTGCTAATGAAGAGATCAACTTTGATTTTGATTCACTTCTCAAATGTTTATTTCAAATCCAAATTCATGTATAATGAAATATACCCAAACATTAGATTTTAAATCTTTGATTTCAAATCCTTGCATTTAGTCATATCATCCAAACAAATGATTTTATCAAATCATGGATTTCAAATCCTAGATTTGAAATCCCTTGATTTCAAATCAAGCTTCCAAATCCAAATCTTAGTTCCCAATGCTTATCATGGTCTTCTGAGGTGCCAGTCTGTTCAAACGATTCCCCTTTCTCAATTTTAAATAATGAAATTACCAAACACTTTTTCTTTCTTATCGATGACTTCCTTGGCTCTCACATTGCAGGGTCTGCTTTTATCGATAACTAACGCCGTGACCGGATTAGCAAAAGGAAATTACCCGTCTGCTTCACGTTGAGAGATAAACAATTGGTTACCGACGATTCCCACCATTTTTTGTTTCTTATTAACTTTGGTGTCCAATAATTTACTCACTTTACACAGGAAGTGAAGGCCACCACTTCTCATATGTTACGAGATGGAAGGCTTGGATTTCTTTCTGACATGATTTTTTTTTAAGATATTGCTCCCTCAAACCTTTCGTATTCTTAAAATCATTGTATTGCTGTTTAGTCCCCGAAATCGCATATAGGTCAATCACACAGATTATTTATTTTTCAGTCCAATTTCTTAACTCTGGTTGGATAGTGATTATCCCAAGACCACAAACATTGGATCGGATTTGGGCGTTAAACGGATTTGATTTGAACTAAATTTGTGGAAAGGGATATAACTGAAACCCGAAAAAATAAGTCCCCAAGTTTATAATCAACGTCTCAATTTCACATGTACAACGCGACTAAATGTGGGACAGAGTAGGGTTTATCATGAAATTTCCGTGTGTAGACGTAAGTCCTCATTTCTTGACCAACTTAGGAGTCCTAATGAGTTCTCTGTGATTATCTGTATTTAAATTCATGAATAAAATATATTACTTAATAATATATAATGTATATATATTTAAATCAAAATTTTCATTAGAAAACAGATTTAAGATTATTTAAGTCCTAAACTTAGTACATAAAACTTAAATTGAAATGGTAAGTGGGTTAAACATATGACATCATATGTGCAATAATACAAATAATAAGTGATCAAATTTTAAACGGATATTTGATAGACAAACAAATCGAATATACATGTGGTTAAATTCTAAAAAATATTTGTTTTGTGGCAAATGAATTCTCGAATCGAATATGACCAAATAGTTAGTCGAACAATTATTGAACTATTTGTTAATTATTTGGTTCATTTCCACCCCTAGTGCTAAATATAAATGCTGATAGTGATACTAATCTTTCGAGATTTATGCCTCAAATACTAGATCAAGACCATCTTAATCTTGAAGCATGGATTAACAAAATTAGCTCTCAGTGTTATATTTGAACCACTATAATCATCTACGCAGTTCCTGAGCTTAGGCATTCATCATTCATTGACTTGGTTTTAGTTTAGCAACTCAATAACTTTACTATTAGATCATTATCCTAATTTCGCTTATCGTATGCTTTTCTCGTATGGACTTCAATTGGAATACATCCCATACGTACGTTAAACTGGTAGTTAAACAATTTGGAAAAAATAATAATAATTGCAGTGTTAATTCAATATTCTCCAATTTGAACGTTAAATTTTGTAGGCTGTTTCAATTAACCTTTGTTTTAATCAATACCTTGTCAGGTTTGTAAACAGGAACAGCAACTATCAAAACTATGCTTCACACGTAGTTGGAATTATGACTCGTACGCTTGTACACAATCACATGGCTCAGTATGAACCCTCATCATCAAGTTTGAAAATTCTGAAGGCAACTATTAATCCAAGCAAAGTTCAATAATCGGTTTCCAAGCCCCACCAGTTTATTCTGTTATTATTCACTTTTTGGGTTCCCACATCAAATAGCGTGTTTTGTGCCCTCTGTACACACTAAACGATTGGCTCATAAGGAGCCCTCATCATCAATTTTGAAAATTCTGAAGGCAAGGAATCCAAACAAAGATCAATAATTGGTTTCCAAGGCCCCACCATTTTGTTCTCTTATTATTCAATTTTTGGGTTCCCACATCACATGGCGTGTTTTGTGGCCTTTGTACGCACTCAACGTTTCCTATTGATCTTTATTATTGACTTGTTGACTTATAGACTTGAACTGCGCAACGTAGTTGATCTTTATTATTGACTTGAACTTCGCAACTTGATGTGGGGGCGGAGTGGGGTTTATCATAATATAATTTGGAGTGTGGATATAAGTCCCCCATTTCTTAAGTAATGTAGGAGAACCAAGGAGTTCTCTGCAACTCAATCGAAGTTTGAAAGCAAAAGCGGAGAGTGTTCGATACTCATAAAAACATGGTGGTGGTCGGAGACGTGATTGTGACCAAGATCATCGAGCGGAGAGTGTTCGATACTCATAAAAACATGGTGGTGGTCGGAGACGTGATTGTGACCAAGATCATCGAGAAGTTGGTGGAGATCGGTTTCAACTATGCAGCAGACCGGTATTTTGCTCGGGATGCTAGGATGAGAGTTGAGCTTGAAAGGCTCAATGATGCTCTTCCTCGTATCCAAGCTGTTGTGGAGATGGCTGAGAGCGGGCAGCAAGAAATTACTGGAGCACTCAAGAAATGGTTGTGCCAACTCACTGATGCTGTTTACGAGGCTGACGACGTTCTTGATGAGCTTGATTACCTTAAGCTACAGAAACAAGTTGAGGAGAAATCCTCAGGCAGCAAAGAACATGGTCATAGTGGTAAGTCATGGCTTTTTAAGTGTCAAAAAAAAAATGAAATTCCGCCTTCTTGTTATCAGTTTTTTTATTTCATAACTGAAGGTTAGCAATCAGATGCTAAAAAATAATTGATTGTTTTTCGAATTTAATCAATAAAAGAAAATAAAACTTCTCTACCAATTTCGCATGCAGGCAAGGGTAAAGTGCGTGGTTTTCTCTCCGAATCTAAACGGAAAGTTGTAAAAGTTGGTAAAAGAGTCTTCAAATCTGATCCCACCCTCGAGAAACTAAGGGGGGCTGTGAAAAGGCTAGATGAAGTCGCAGCGGGCGTGGGAAATTTCATCTCTACACTACAACTGCATCAACAACATCAAAGTCAGAGCCCGGTTCCTGCTCGTAAAACTGGACCAGCTCTAACTGAGAGAAAACTGTGTGGACGAGATGAAGAGAGGGAGGAACTGTTAGGGTGGTTGAGAAAGGATGACAGCAGTACAAGTGTATCTCTTTTCTCCATTATTGGCCATGGCGGAGTGGGCAAGACCACCCTCGCACAACACGTCTATAACGACGAGAGCTCAACTAATTCCTTCGATTGCAAAATCTGGGTGTGTATCTCCACTCCCTTTGTTGTCGAAAAGGTCATGGCAGATATGATAGAATACGCCGAGAAAAAGAGACCTGAAGTCAAGGAACTTGCCGCTCTGCAAGAAGCTCTTAAAGATCTGGTGTCATCAAGGAAATTTCTCCTTGTCTTGGATGACGCATGGAATGATGACAATCGTTCTGGGTGGGATAATTTGTTTGCTCCTTTGACGAGCGGCCATAAAGGAAGCAAAATCTTGTTGACTACTAGATCGAAGAGCCCTGCAGACATGGCCGCATCGGCTTTGGGGGCTTTGGGGGGATCAATAAATGAGCCAAAGAAATTGAAACCTTTAGATGATGACAACTTTCTAAAACTTTTCAACCAATATGCATTTTTTGGGGTAAATTCTTGTGATTATGGGAAGTTGGAGTCCATTGGCGAGAAAATAGCAAGAAGGCTCGGGGGCTTACCATTGGCTGCGAAGACCATTGGAGCGCTATTGAATTCTAAGTTGGATGATAGTCATTGGAACAGAATTTTGCATGCAGACAATATATCCAATCAAGCACAGCAGATGGATGGTGTGACGTCTGTTTTGATGTTAAGCTACCACCATCTACCAATGCACTTAAGACCATGTTTTGCTTATTGCAGCATCTTTCCTCAAGATTATAGGTTTGACAAAGATGATCTAGTCTTCATGTGGATGGCTCTTGGCCTCATTCAAAAATCTTCCCAATATCCAAACGAGACACTGGAGGACACTGGAAGAGGCTACTTCGACGATTTAGTTAAACAATCATTTCTCGAACAAGATTACGACACATATTACTACAACATGCATGATCTTTTGCATGATCTAGCATGTAAAGTATCTCATGGTGATTGCTTTAGATTTGTTGGAGACATGTCAATTGACCAGATCCCGAATATGGTACGTCATCTGCATTTTGAAACCGACAAACTTGACCTTCTTAAAGATGTGGGCAAACGGAAGAAACTCCGCACGCTTGTGTTAGTCTTTAGAGGATATGTTAATGAGCATGCCAAGGATTTTGAAGAAGAGTTTAAGTCACTGGAAAGCATTCGGGTGCTGCGCCTAGCTGTTGACGGCATGAACGTTTTGCCAGATGCAATTGGTAACCTGAGGCATATCAGATATTTGTCGATTTGTCATGATATTTCTCGGTTACCTAGTTCATTCTGCAGGCTCTACCACCTGCAGGTCCTTGCTAGTAGATGTTTTGCTACTCAATCTGTTCTTGGCTTGAATAATCTCATTAGTTTGAGACACCTGATACGCTATCAAGTTTACTATGAAAAAATCAAGGGGTTAGGGACATTAACTTCACTTCAACGTTTGTCGTTCGCTGCTGAAGCTTATAAATTGAGCGAATTGAAGGAGATGAGAGATTTGGGGGAACTGAAGATCCATGGCCTTGAGAATCGCAAGCATCACGAGGAAGTCAGTAAGATCGAGTTGCATCATAAAAGGAACCTCCTCAGGTTAGAGCTGGTTTGGTCTGATGACAGTGATGTGTCGGATGAGTATGAACAGATGCTTGATCGCCTGCAGCCACCTGATAGCCTCAGGGAACTAACAATCAAGGGATACCAAGGTGCCAGGTCTCCACGTTGGATGGGACCAGAATTATTAAAAAATCTGGAGTACATGAGCCTTGGATATGGCAGGGCATGGAAGCACCTTCCTTCTCTCCGGAAGCTCCCATACCTCATGCGTTTGACATTGAGGGTACTGCCAGCTCTTCAGCAAATTAATTGTGAAGGTGGCTTTCAACAACTAAAGTACTTATCTATTTATGAATGTGAGCAATGGGAGGAGTGGTGTGGATTAGAAGCAGAGGCGGTACCCTGGTGCCCTCTCCTCAAGGAATGAGCCTTGGATATGGCAGGGCATGGAAGCACCTTCCTTCTCTCCGGAAGCTCCCATACCTCATGCGTTTGACATTGAGGGTACTGCCAGCTCTTCAGCAAATTAATTGTGAAGGTGGCTTTCAACAACTAAAGTACTTATCTATTTATGAATGTGAGCAATGGGAGGAGTGGTGTGGATTAGAAGCAGAGGCGGTACCCTGGTGCCCTCTCCTCAAGGAACTTGTTATCAAGTATTGTCCCAAACTGAAGGCGCTGCCCCCTCTGCCCCTCCGTCTCCAAAAATTGGAGTTGCAAGGTGTGGGATTGTCTGATTCCCCAGCATTCTGGGTGGGCAGCAACTGCGGTGGTAGCAGCTGCGGTACTAGCTCATCATCCACGTCCTCTCCCTCTCTCTCTGATTTGAGAATTGGAAGGTGTGGAGAGCTGACATCCGTGGCTGGCTTGTTCCGACATCATCTCACGTCTCTCAGGGTGTTGGAGATTACTTATTGCCCTAAGCTGAGGATGTCTCCAAACACAGTTACCCCAGTTGATTGTTTCTCTCTCCCATCACTCCGATCCCTTTGGCTTGTTGATTGTGGTGGATCGGACGGTCTCACTCCTGCGTTACTAATGCAAAGTTCCCCTACTTCTCTTTCAACCCTTATATTAGATGGAGCTAACCACATAACCGCCTTTCCCTCCGAAGGGGAGTTTACTTCGCTGAGGGAGTTGAGACTGGCAGGGTGTGGTGAGCTGGCATCAATTGAGCGTCTAAAGTCTCTTCCCCACCTTAAAGAGCTAACCATTAGGGAGTGTCCCAAGCTTGTGCAAGCAGCTGCGGTAGCAACTTCAGCATCAATCGAGCGGGAAGAGGAGCAGGAGTTCACATCGACTGTTGAAGATCTTT